GGCCTCAGGACAGTGCCTCTTGATGTGACCAAATCGCTTACATCTGAAACACTGCACCTTCTTCTTCTTGGGGCAGTCCCTCCTCAGGTGGCCAGTTTCTCCGCACAGGTAGCATACTCTGCTGTCTCCTGGCTCAGGTCCTACGGCAGACGCGCTGACACCAGGCTCATCCGCCACTGCAAGGAGAGCACGTGCTTGCTTCGTCAGCTGTGTCATCGTGGGATCCCCACTAGCCGCCGCACTGAGGCGCAGCTGATTTGCAAATCGACGAGGCAGACCTGACAAGAACTGCTCGACGAGCACCGGGTCTTTTCCATCTGCTGCTTCCTTGTGGCCACTACGCGTCAACAAAAGGCGCAAGTCAGATGCATAAACATCAACAGTTTCATCTTCCCGCTTCCGACGTCGCACAAACTGGGAGTACGCCTCCCTCGACGAGCAGGCGAACGACTCCTCAAGCCGTGCCTTCACCTTATCCTCGTCCTCCTGATCCGCAGTAGCCATTTGTCTCCACACCGTAAAGGCATCGCCAGATAGATACAGAGGCACATGCGCCATTCGCTCCTTGCCTGTGCTCCATTTCTGAATTTTTCCCACGACCTGGAACTTCTGCCAGAACTCTTCCAAGTCCTCCTGGCCACTAAATGCGCGCAACGCGCCTTCTGCTTTCGCCATCCTTAGTTCCTCCCCGCAGTCCCGGGTTTCGGCACCAGAAACTGTAGTGGAATGATGGCAAAGCCCCTGTGACCCAACCCAAGCGGCCACACAACCAAGACGTTTTATTTAGCTTACATTTGTCTACAAGGAAAAAAGAGAACTGAAAAAAAGCCATGATCTCGGAACTACTCGTAGTAGTAGTAGTACTGCTTGACCTAAACCGGAACTAAATCGTACCCGCACGGTACGCAGCGCAGACTGCACGTACAGCAGAACATAACCATGATAACGCGACGCAGCTTGGAAAGCCAGCTAGCTAGCTATGTATGAAACAACGGACCGCAAGCATGACAGCGGGAAATGCAAAGGGCCAGTCGGCAACAGTACACAATGACGATTTATGCTATTGGGTATCATTCATGGCTAGACCTAACACTGTATGCACGTGACATGTCGCCAAGTTATTGTTCTAACCAGAGGAGTAATTGTCACCTTCAGCAGCATGGATCTAAGAGTAAGACTAAGACTGTATTCATCATCAGATGTGAAGCCACTCGACCAACTGCACTGCAGAGTAGAGGTTATCCGCAAACATATGGTGGTGACGTCCTGGTAGCGACCGTGACAATAGCGCAACAGCATTGTAGACCTTCCCTCACCTAGGGTTGAGTGTTGGAACGCAGGTGTCAAATGAGAAATTAAATGAGTACAGGTACCCATTGCTGGAGTCGCACAGGGTATACACAAGTGAAATGGCCTGTTCCCCCGCTCCCCGCCACACAACAATTCTCTGACTCATTTGGTTACGGACAATAATATCATACAGTTTGTTTACTGTGAAAGAACTAATCTTGTTGGCGAGAGAACGGGGGAAAAGACAACGAACTCATAAACAACTAACAGTTATAAACAGAAGAAAGGGCGAACAAATCGAAACGACCAATGAGCGACCAGTACGTACGATACACGTGACAAGAACCAAGACAACAACAGGAAGCCATCCCCTGCTCGCTTGTAGATGATCCTCGACTTGTAAGGGCTGCGTCCTTTGAATGGGATATCCATTTCATCCACAGCTACTTCCCGATGTGGATTATACACTCGCGTGCAGTTCCGACTCAACGCCGAAAGCAGAGGACGAATCTTGAAGAGCCGATCGGATGAAGCAGACTCTTTTGAGTTATCGTTAACCTGAAGGTATCTCTTTATTTGTTCAAACCTGGTCAGAGACATCACAGTTGCTAGCCGTGGCATACCATATGCAAACTCATTGCTCCATATCAGCTTTATGTTTGGCACGGGATGGCATCCGTTGGCAACGCAAATTCCTAGCCATGCATAGATCTCCAAATATGCCACAGCGTCAAATGGGCGACCAGAGGTATCGGGATTGTCTGCAGACTCCTGGGCCCAGAAGAGGTTTGTCTGAGCCACAATATGTTGGATCATGCTCCTGGGGATGAACATACCAAATAGCCGTGATGGTGTGGCGAGGTCTGCATCCGTTAGGTTCAGTTTTACACCTGGATCACCAACAAATTCAGGTATGGTACCTGTAGCCAGCTGACTACCCCACCCCTGACCCCTGGTGGCTGTTCAGGCTCTTCAGGCTCCTCCTCCATGTCCAGAGCTTCTATATCACTACTTCCAGCAACTCCATCATCATCTGAATCCATTACACAAGTGTGAGCAAAGCAGAAATCTCACATCCTATATATAGGATCCGCCAAAAATCTGATAGGTCTTCACCAAAAGCTCTCTGGAAATGAAACAAAGAACCACATGCTTCTGAAAACTTCACAAGAGATCCATCTTAGGTTGTATTATACAAGTAAGTTCCAGTACAATTTTACTATATATCCTAAAAAAATCCTATATATATAGGATTTGACAGTTTAAGAGATAGTGAACAAAATCCACTCCTTGTTTCTAGATTTAGTGTGGTACGGTTTAAGTAGTGCTGGCCACCCTGTGTTCATAGTTACTACTCATTGTTGTCAAAACCCAAGCTATGTCCAGGTACGTATACTGTATTTTTCCGGTTATAAGTCGACCTTTTACGACTGAAACTAGCAGAAGAAAAGGTGGGGGTCGACTTACAACCGGGATTCGACTATAACCGGGAAATATCGGTATCTTCCAAAAATGACCTGCACTGCATGCACGAGTGCACCATGTGTATGCATTTTGTCACGACGTTGACATGGTGCTCAACGTCATGAGATTATTTGCAGTACACGTCATAGTTTGTGTTCTCTATCCCGGGTTTCGGCACTCACCTTGGATGGGTGGTTTCTACGAGCGTCTCGTTGGAACAGTCAAACGAAGCCTGAAGAAGGTCGTTGGCCGCGCGCTCCTCACTGTGTCGCAACTGACTACCATTCTCATGGAAGTGTCAGCAGTCGTCAACTCGCGTCCACTGGTGTACGTGGACAATGACTTGCAGGAGATACTCACCCCAAGTCATTTTCTTTGCCTGTCCGCAACTACTGGTGGCGTGCAACCCACTGCTGATGACGGCGATCCGGACCACATCGAAGTTCCGACTGCAGCTCAGAATCTTCTCTCTGTCTGGAAGAAGGGTCAACGAACATTGGACCAGTTCTGGCGTGTCTGGCGAGACGACTACTTGGCTGATCTCCGCAACAGTCACACTCGGAAGCTCCGGCAGGCACGCGTTACCGCTTCAGAACAGCCAGCCGTTGACGATGTTGTACTAATAAGGGATGACATGCCCCGTGGCTCATGGCTACTTGGTCGCATTGTCGCTCTCCATACAAGCAAGGACATGGAGATACGTTCCGCAACCGTCATCACTGCAGAGAAGACAGAGCTCAAGCGACCCCTGTCTCTCCTGTACCCTATCTGTCCTGCTGCTAACTCCGAGGCTAACGACAACAGCACCGCTCCGGACACACACACCACTGGCCAAGCCGATCTGCCAGTTCCAGCAGCTGTTGCTCCACCCAGTCGTCCACAACGTGCTGCCACTAAGAAGCAACGTCAGACGCTTCGCCAATTAATTGGCAGCGAACTTGTTTAGTTGAATCAACTAGACAGTTGGTAGTTCACATCTGAACTCTCTCTCTCTCTCTCTCTCTCTCTCTCTCTCTCTTTCTCTTTCTCTGTGACGGTCTACTCTCTTTCACCCTTGCGTATGTTATATGCACTTATTGTGTTTTGTTTCCACGTTACTTTGTTACGAATTATCTCCTTTTCTCTGCATCTCTTGCGGGGGAGTGTCACGACGTTGACATGGTGCTCAACGTCATGAGATTATTTGCAGTACACGTCATAGTTTGTGTTCTCTATCCCGGTTTGTTTCCGCGTTCCCACACCGAAGCTGGGCCGCGAGTTTATTATTTCTACTGACTCACTCACCTCTTAGCTACGTCCTCCATGTTTTTTCCTGCTCCTTTTTTCTCTCTGCGCAAGCGCCTTGCGCATTAGTCGTCTTCTTTCAGTTCAAAGCAAGAACAAGAATTATTTACCCCTTGTGCATTGTCAGTTAAATTCAGTCAAATCAAGCTCTCCCGATCCCAAGAATAAGAACATTGAACTGCCTGGCATGTGCACACATTTTTGCCAAGTTTATTTGCCTTTTTCAAGGATTTGGATGTTTCCCCCTCCAATGGAGGAGTGTTTATGTGATTTGTTCATGTGTTAGTAGCAGGGAGCGGTTGCTTCGTTGGGCGAAAACTTTAAAAACATAATTAAGACATCCGGATACGGGGGTTGACCTATAACCGGGGTAGACTTATAACCGGTAAAATACGATACATGCATCCCTTAGAAAATTAATAAAGTTGTGAACGGTACCATTCGGCTGTTCAATAATTCAACAAACTCTCCTCCTCTTCTCCTCCATGCGCTCTCAGCCGACTACCCTTAGTAACCATTACACACACCAACTGTTCAACGAAGGGGTTACGGGTACTTCAAGAATTGTTTAATACTGATAGTATTCCTTCTGACAGCTGTAGACGAAGCAGCTGTCAGAAGGAATATTATCAGTAACAAAAAAAAACTAACAATACTTGATGTACCCGTAACCCCTTCGTATTATGTCAACAACTTCCAACAGCAAAATAGGCAATATCACAATGTTCATTTCTGGCCCCTGGAACTGTTAGTCCCCCCCCCCCCCCCCTTATCCACTATTGATCATACATGTATTGATATTGAACCTGTAAATCGAGGTCCCAAGCATTGGGGTCGACTTATGACCGTTAACATAATGGTACTTGTAATATCATGTTTCAGTAGCACACACGTTCACCTCAGGCCACTCATCAAGTGCTGTGTTCCCCTCTTTTTTTCTCTTTTCTTGTTGCTGCCTATAGTTCAATCGTAGACATCACTGTCGTCGCTGCGGCCGTGTGGTCTGTCAGACTTGCTCCACTAAGCGTGCTGTAGTGGAGACGTGTGGCAGCACCCCAGTGCGCGTGTGTGACCAGTGTTATGGTGCACTGTATGATCCAACTACTGCTAGGTACGTGCCATGCCGTTCTTACCTCTGATGCTTGTCTTGTACATGTGCAATATTCTGTAGTTAATATTGGCAGAAATTAGGGGTGAAAGTTGGCGTTGAGATCCCGAGTTCGAGTACTCTGATTTTCTCCGATCGAATATTCGAGTGAACAAGCGTTTCGGAGACAGCAGTGTTTTAATATAGCTACAAAGACAACTAATTGCACAGTAAGCATTTCATATATGTCGACATGTATGTGTAAAATGTTGTACGATTATCGCAAGGCACACAAGGAAGGGAAAGCGAGCTTGCCCCCCCACTGAATAGATGTAGTATTATCACCTTTTTTGTTTCGCTCTTTTTCACCTTCTTTCACTTTTATTTGTCCATATAAGATTAGTTCAAGTAGTTCCCATTCCATTGTTACGTAGATTCACTGATGATTGTAACAAGAACACAGTTCTGAACGAATCCTCGCTTTCCCTTCCTTGTGTGCCTTGCGATAATCGTACAACATTTTACATATACATGTCGACATATATGAAATGCTTACTGTGCAATTAGTTGTCTTTGTGAATATTCGAGTATTCGTGTATTCTTCATGTCCTAAAAATTCCACACCAAAGGCCTTAAAATCACGTGACACAACCCCGATTAAACAGAGTGGCAGTTATTTTTCTCAAGGTTATTGATTTGGGGGGTCATTTGGGCTCTCTCGACTAATGTACAAATGTTCACCACTGCTGCTCTAAAACTGCAGATTTCTGTGGTAAATGCATGTGCGATGTATGAACGAGTACTCTGATTTATAATTTATTCCCATTCCGATTTTATTCGAAAAACCGAGCGGTTACTCGAATATTCGGTATAATTGTTTCACCCCTAGCAGAAATAGATGTTAGAAGAGATTTTTTCAGTGATAAAGCTATATTTCC